CCCCCAAAACCCCAAAACCCCAAAACCCCTTTCTTAGAAAAGATAGTTGAAATTAAGATCGAGCTTAATAATAAGATGCAGTATTCCTTTCAAGAATTTCCTTACAAAATGACTACATTCGCTAGTTCTTAAGCATCTTCAATAAGGGACTTTCATCTATTTGTCAATATGTTAACTTACTAATAGCTGGACATGGAGATATTGGTGATTTTTCCTTTGGAGATCGGAGAGTAGGGAAATTTAAAAATACATCTTTCTTTTTCTTAAAGCAACTGAGTCTATCTTCCATCTGCTTGAGCTCATCTGTAAATTTGTCCTTCTTTGATTTCATAGTGTACTCAAGGACGTCCTTAATCGCCTCTTTAGCATTGCTTCTCTCTTGAATCTGGAATAGCTTCTTTCCAAGTGCACTTTTCTTTATATTCTTTATAAACCCTCTTTCGAAAGCTTGAATTATAGAATCGGCTTCAGTACTAATCTATACAAAAATTATAAAAATTGAACAAATTATGGTAATATCTTACATTTGAGGGAGATGCAACTTGCTCTAAAATATTCCTACTCTGTTCGTCATCTTTTCTAGCATCATTTTTAGGTTTGTAGAAGCTACTGATCTTTCTTGGGACTTGACTTTGTTCCATATTTCTATTAAAATTATTAAAAACTAAACTAGCTTCCTAAGAATGTATTCAAAAGAAGTTGCTGATTAAGTGACTCTACAACTGTAAATAATACGAGTGCTTATTAGTAATGTAGAATTCTCTAGAGAGGGTTGTTAACCCCTTTTTGTACAAAAGCCAATTCCTGATATCATATACTTGCCATTTATTATTCCTGAGGTCTATATATCATTTTTAAACCTAATGGAATAGGACTTGCGATGAAAAATATTAAATTCATCCATTTTCGAGCGAAAGTAAGACTTACCTTCACTTCTGTTAAACAAAGGGAGTTTAAAATCCCCTGAGCTTGAACCCTTCTGGTGTTGCTTTCGAGGATTCGATATTTCAGAAGGCATTTTTTGGAAAAATTTCTGGCACTTAAAACTGTTAACCCTGGATTCCTTCTCTAAAGAGTGTAATTAGCTTCCTGAATTTGTTTTAAAATCTAAGAACTTATTCATTTTCCGACTGTGAATTAGAAAGAGGAATGAGTAATAACCAAAAAATTTATTATTAAGAAGTTTTCAAATTTAGGTGCTCCAAACCTTGCTCTTGAAAAATTTTACATAAACTTTTCGACAAACAATAAAATTCTTACTGGGTGATAGATTTCTCATATTCTCTATTTGAGCACCAAAACTTGAAATTTCTTTATCTCCTGTAGGTGATGCAATAGGAGAGATTCATGTAAGTCTCATTACGGACTTTCTGCTCTGTAATTTAAAATTTCTTGGCATCCTGACTGGTGAAAGTACAGCTCTTGAACGATACTGACTCATAGAAAGTTCTCTTCCTTTACTAACCTCAGATACTCTTTCTTCCAAAGGCAGATTGGCCTCAAATGAACTCTTTGGAATCTTAAACGAGTGGGGACTATCCACAAAAGTCAAATTAAGATTCTTAATTTTCTTCCTAAACTGGAGCTCTATACAGCATCATGAGCACTATTCAAGGTGAAATTTAGGCATTTTCTGATAGCAAACTTACTTCTTCTTTTAATTGGAGAATATGTTGTCTTTTTCTCTTCCGTGTTAAAACTCATCGTTAATATTCTTTTAATAATTTACACCTGTGGTTGCCTTTTGGGGTTTTGGGGTTTTGGGGTTTTGGGGTTTTGGGG